GCATATGGAGCTGCATTGATTAATCTATTATTTTGTCTATAAAAATGATAACAGTACTCGGTTTCTATATCTTATTAGAACCCGTTTCTCTTGTCTGCTATTTGTATCGAGGACGGTTCATTAATTCGTCTTTGTTCTCCCTCCCGCGTCGACGCACTTCTACACCCAATTTGTTGAGCATAGTGGGAGCCTAAACATGCTCTCGCTTACGGTACGTCTTACTGGGCTTCGCTAGTGAAGTCCGGACGGTCTCATGTTCTAGTTCACATATACATATATAGTAAAGTAAAACAAAAGTGGCTAGACAAACTTCCTCGTTTTATATCTATGTTGTGTCTACTTTTTGTTAGAAGCATCTATTCCGCTGATCCGTACTCATGAGCGTCGGTCCATGACGTGTTTACGTAAATTGATTCACCAACTTCATGGCAGTGGCATAACTACTACTACTTGGGGATGATTGTTTAGAGCCCGGAGAAGCTTTTAAGCCATTTTTGGTTATTATTTAAGCCAAGCGTCTCTACAGGCTACAGCTGATGCTCACCACAGCCAGCTAGCTTACCCGGATGCTCTCACTGCACATTCAATAGTGCTAAATACAATGTTATGTATGGATAGTTTTTTGTCGGCGAAAATCAGTTAAGTATCAATACATATCGAAAGAAAAACATCGAAAGTTTTCTTTATTATTGTTGTTTTTGTAGACGTCTTTTCTGCAAAGTTGTGAGTCTTTCATCGACTAAATTAATTACGAAATTAGGTCCATTCGTAAAAAGCAATATACTATCATTATATCTATCATATATAAAATTGACTGTAAAAATATCGATGTTACTTTTGTTTCAATTGCAGTTATCTCAGCGTTGACCTAATGATCCATTGCCAAGTGTACAGAAGTTAAGTTAAACACTTGGTGCTGAATAACTTCCATAGACTTCCATAGATCAATTTTGGACCGACATATAATGATGCGCTTGGCGAAGCTGGTTTGTAGTGCTTGTTTTATGAAAAGACATATTTTGTCTTATATAGTTAATTACAGTGGTTGATGTTACTGTGGTGATTGTTTTCTCGTTCTGTACAATGCCAAAGGGCAAAAAATTCCCCTGTTATGCTATGCCTCAATTAGAAGGTTACTATCATCAGTTTAGATTTAACAACTCGCGTTGACCTAAACAGAATGACCTAGTGAAGCCCAAGATGGCCATCATCAGCGATCCGCCCTTGTTGCTCTGGAACCTTTTTTTACCCTGGTCTTTCTTTGTTGCTCTTCATACGCTAAGCCCTTTGATAGCAGGTCCAACGACATCATACTCCTAACAGGAAATAGCCTTATTTTCGACTCTCGTGTCCTATAAACCAATGAAAGGTGCGTCCTGAGGACCTGCCAGTTCTAGAGCGGTCGCATCTTTTCGATTAGCTTTTCTATACATGTGATCGAACGCGCTACGCTTGTTGATGAAGGGGCCAGCGCAGCAATCTACGATATCATCGAATTTATCGAATAGTAGAACCTCTATCAGAAAACCGAAATGCGTCCCGGATAGGAAATCTGAAACATATCATTAATCATTTACTCGTAGACCCGTATCAGTAAACTGTTATGAGGATGTTTTTTCCGCTGTCGATTTTGTTGATCTAGAGCTTGCTCAGCAGGCAACACTCATCTTGGTCTTATTGGGGCGACTCCTTATACAACGCTTTGACTCTGCTTCAGAGAATAATCGATTTTTCAAATGCATATTCAACCGGTTTGCTTGAATCTGAATGGGAGGTTTTCGGTAACGACAAACTATCGATGCCAGCTTATAACATGCTGTTCAATATATTTACTCTAATAACGTAGATCATCACCTCTCGTTAGTTCAGGGTGCATTTGTTCTTCGGAAGAAAAAGAAAACGACTGATTATCGTTGCTTATAATATCCGTATACCATTTCGATGAAGTTTAAAGGACTCGGTGGCCTGTTCTGCATAGGGGCGAAAGCGCCCTACGAAACATCAGCATTACCACTAAGGGAAAGTGGACGTCCTTCTTCTCCGAGCTTCGTGTGTCGTGTAGCAATGCTTCCATTTTGCAATGTCTTATCTCTATCATAAGGTCGATATTTTCGCTCAGGTTGTTCATCAAGGACCGTCAACCGTATCTATATTAATGCTATTCCGTAACATATAT